ATCGGCTGTTCGGCCTGAAAGGCTTGCAGGCCAACATCAGGCGGGATCCCTTGGCGCTGAAGCGCCTTGAGGGACGTCAAGTTTCGACCGGCTCCAGATTCAGCGATCCACTCGAGCTGAAAGGGACCTGTCTGGTATCCTGGCAATGCTACCTCTGTAACCCTTGGCAGGACAGCTGGTAAGGCATGGCTACAGACAGAGAGCCAACCAACAACGGTGCGGAACAGGTAGCTCAGTCCCGATCTTTTCCAAAAACTTGTCGCACTCGGTGTGGAACGTCCATCGACCGAGATACCCTGAGCCGTAGCGGGAAGCATCAGGGCGACAGCCGCAGCGGCCTTTGGCGTGCTGGATTTTCCGGGAGCTGTCTCATGGGAGAATGGACAATTTGCACCCCGGTTGCAGGTTCCTTTCGGAAAGAAAAGACATGGCGCTTTGGGTGGATTTCCCTTTGGCGGAGCTTTGCTCTCGGCCTTTGCACCTTTGCCTTCACCGCTTGCCTTTGGCTTCTTGGGCGGCTTCTTTGGCTGATCGCCTTTGGCGTCACCTTTACCCTTACCCTTACCCTTATCGCTCTTACCCTTCTGCTCCCGATCTTTTCCACCCTTTCCAGTACCTTTGGGACCGGTTGGAGGAGCAGGAGTGGCAGGTGTTGGCGATGCTGGTGTAGCTTTCTGTTGCTCTCCTTTCTTCGGTGACGATGTGCCTTTGGTACCGGGCCGCAACAACGCACCCCTGATCGATTCCTCGTTGGCCTCTTCCCGGAGCTCGTCGAGGAGCTCAACAAGTTGAGTCCACAACCAGTTGAAAATGCGCTTGTTGCTCGATGGACTTGAATCTTTGATTTTGTCAATGGCCCTGGAAAGCAAACGGCAATGTTTCAGTTTCGCGTATAACCATGAGAACATGGAATTTTCGGCAGGCCAAGCGTCTGGGCTGAAGCCATTCAAACAGAACTCCACGCGCTCACGGAATGTCTGAAGATGTTGTTGGCTAAAGCCCTCGAGCTGAATCGCAAGGAAAGTCTGTTGTGAGACCGCTGCTCCCCTGATTCGATCAACTCGGAATCGCTTGCTCAACATCGCAAGAAGGGCTCGCCCTGAAGGTAAAGCCCCAAGCGCGTGAGCCCTTTCAACGAATGACTGAGCTGTGACCCCGAACTCCCCTTTGAGGTGTTTCGGGTCTGTGACCTGAGCTGCGAGTTACGCGTCCAAACGGGGCAACCCATCTGAGTTACTCTGCATCTTAGCAATCGCCCGATCGGTGATGTTGGGATCAAGTGCAGCCTGCAACCACCTAAGGATGCGTGCCTCGCCCGATTTATCAATACTTCCGAACTGTGTCAACACTCCATTCTTCCACGATCTAAACCCAGCAGCTGAAACTGGCAATGTGGGAAGTTTCTGCTCGCGAAGGTCTTTGATGTGGTACGTTGAACCCTCGTAATCTTCATCATCGGGATTAATCACGGGATCATGCTCAATGTCATCTTCCTCTTCCCCTTCTTCATGTTCCGAACCGATGTCAAACATTTCTGGTGGCGCGGGAGGATGCCTACCGGGAGGGGGCTTGGGTGTAGAGAACAATTGAGGCGTCGATGACCCCTTCTTCGGCGAAGACGGCGAGGGAAGTCCAACCCCAGTGAATACGGGCAACCGCGGAGCACAACTATACCCATAAGAGTTAGGTGCAGAGGCCGTCGCGGTACCAGTGATGAAGTTCACATGTGGCTTTGATGATTGTTGCGGCTTGAGTTTGGGCTTCTTCTTGGCTTTTGGACTAACAATCTCCTTAAGCTCTCGCATGGTTTCCCCAACACTCGATGCAAGCGCCTTCAAAGCTTCACCAATGTCCGTGCCATTATGGTCTGAAACCGGTGGTGCCTGTGAAGCCGTTGCGTGTGGCGGCCTGGCTTGGGCTTGAAGCTCAAAGCCTTTGCAATAGCTCTTTCTGTTGTTCCTCCAGCTGCTGATTACGGGCTCTGAGCTCGGCAATGGTTTGTTGAGCCTCCTGGGATATCATGAAAACCTGTCTTTCGGCCTCATCCCGAAGCTTATTGCTTTACTCAAAAGCCCCTTGTCTGGCATCCTGTTGTGCCGAACTTACTGCACTTTGTGCTTCAATCGCGACACCCTGAACCAATGCTTGCGCTTGATGTTGGATGCTCTGAGCCTGCATTTGTGCCAACTGTGCAGATGCAATGAATGGCCTGAGAATGGGCCTCGGGGTCAACCCCGTGCAAATGCACTTCCTGTCGAACCTGCTGATTATGCTGGTGTAAGCGCACATCCGGTGTGGAATGACCATCGCCCGGTGCGAGCGAAACCGGAATCCCAACAGGTCTAGAAACCTCACATGCGTAAGCAGGTGGTGGAATCAATGCTGAAGCTTCGGCTTTCGCTTTAGTCGATGGGGAAGAAGCCCGATTTCGGCGTGATGTGCTACCGGGGGCAACGGGGTAAGGACTGGGGCCACGCCGGTTCCCGGCGCTCAATGCTCTCCTAGGCCTTGGTGAAGACTCGCTATCGTCACCAACCGAAACCCCACCAACCGGCACAACCGACATCGCGGATACCTGTTGCCCACTGCTCGATGAAATCAGAAGTGAGTCAGCGGAACCCTGTTCAGGAGAAGTGTTGTCTGGGGAGGACGCCATTGTGCCAATGAAGCGGGGAATCCAGGATACCCCTGAAGTCCAACAATCACCCCTTTTGTTTCTCTCTTTCACAGAGAGCCAAGCCAGCGCATGATGGCCGGTCGGAGCGAAGAAAGCTCCCTTCCAAAACGCAGCTGGAAACCGGCTGTACCGCTCCACCTCCTGGACAATGTCCTCGCGATCGTCCACCAGTGCAACGGCCTTGGGGTCCAGCCCCCGATCCCCCTGGTACCAGCGGAGCGCTTCGGCCTTGCCTCCTCTGCCAACGGGCTTCTGGCAAATATAAACGCCTAAGCCAGGTAACTCCCTGCCAATGGTCTCCGTAGTGCGAAGGCCTCGCTCGTACCCGGAGTACGAGAGCACACTAATCTCGAGAGTCACGCCGCGCGGCAGATGTGCATTAAGATCATCAATGAAAGCACGCGAAGCGTCAACCGATACGTCGAGGACCCCATGTACATCAAAAGCCAAAAACGCTCGACGAGGTTCCAACTCGTCTGAGATTTCAATAACGGCCGGTCCATTAGACAAGGGAGCAGCTGATGAAGACGCTGTCGACAGAACAGAGCGATCGGCCTGCGCGTTGTAATCTTGCCACTGGGAAGTCGTCCAGTCGCTTACTGCACCGCTTAAACTAGCAGAATCGGGTTGAGGAATGAAATCAAAAGATTCCGAAATGCTAGGGTATTCCCTTTCCCAGTCCTGCTGATGTCTGGACGTCGGCCGAGCCTTCTGCGTTGGTTGCAGCTTGGGAGTAGCACGGCTAGGACCTGATGTTACGGGTACAGATTTACCCTTGGGAGGAACAGGAGTCTTGATACCTTTATACTTAGGTCGAGGCCCTGGAGGAGTGGGGGGTGTTACTAACCCCTCAACCAAGATTCGAGGCGGAGATCGCGAGCGCTCAGCAGGAGAATCAGAGACAGGTGGCGCAGCAGCCGGTTCCGAAGGAACGTCCAAGATGGGTCTCAATTCGGCCAATGCATTAGTAAGCGTATCCCTTTGGGAACGTTCTATTTGCACACAGCCTTCGAGCTCGCGCTCGCGCACCTTCAAGATATGGCAAACTTGCGTACGCGCATCGGTCGGCAATGAGATTGCAAAGACAATCGTTAACAATGTCCGCACGATCTCAAGTAGAAGCTGCTTTCGCCGCCGGTAATCCGAAGTCTTCTCAGGAGAGATCTCAGGCCCACGAGTGAATTGATGTTCAAGTCGGCCCTCCCAATTGCGATCTTCAGAGTTACGCTCAACGGCTTGCAGTCCACATCGCACGGCACCAAGATGTGGTATGTCAAGATGGAAACTGAGGCACTCAAACTGGTGATCTGAGCGGCACCGAGCAGGGAGTGTGGCGCACCAACGACTCCCGAAAGCCCTGAAACAAGATGGTTGATGCAGCACGTGGAACGTCCAACGGTGCTGATGTTCTGTTTGCAGTTGGGGTGCATGGGAGTCAACCGCTAAGGAACTCAACCGAACAACCCTACAAAGACAACCCTACGTAACGACCGAATAAGCCCGCCCCTCGTACTAGGCACTTGCCAAGAGGTTATGGGTGGTCGTTTATCAAAAGGCAGTCTGGGTTTCACCAAGCGTACCTCGGAGCAGTCAGCGGCAGCAGGCGCGTCAAAAGCCGGTCAAGGGTAATACCTAGGCAACCCGAAGCTCAACGCGTCGTCTGCGTATCGCAGTTGTTGAAGTCTATGGATCCGAGTTGTTTGGCAGATCAAAGAGCTTATGCGGTACCACGAATCAATAGCACCTACAACAAGCCTTCTCCAATGGTTTGTTGGCTGTTCAATCCACAAGCGTGTCCTGCGCTTCTCGCGCAATGCTTTGATGAAACGAATCCAATGTGAAGATACGTTGTGCTAATCCCTTTTGGTCACGTGGAAATCCAACGGTGACCGGCGCAGGTATGAAGGTGTGATGAGCCTGGCTCTGGCTCGTTTCAGTGCAATGAGCAACTCTCTACCAAGGGCGGCGAGAGGATCTACCAATCAACCTACCACCGTGCCCACGTAGCTGAGGCTGTTAACCAGTTGTTTGAGGGGAACACCGCACAAACAGTTACAGCAAGGCAATCACTGTTTTACCTTGAGCCAAATGTGTCAATGATCATTGTAATGCCGTGTCTGCTTCAACAGACATGTTCTTCCTAACAGCACTACAGGCACATGCAACATGACTGTCCAGACACTGTACAAGAGGGCTTGAGGACCAATATTTCTTCAACTTTAATAGAACCCTACAGCACCACTTTCGTGGCTGTCTTCCTCGTAACACCCATCAACGACCTATGCAGCGTTCTAAAAAAACAACTAAGAACCCATCGTCGGTCCTTCAGACCCTTTTTGCAGCAGTCAGCGCCCCCGACCGTGAACTCCAGGGACGCCACCCAGGTCGTTCTCTTGAGGGTCCTCAGAGCAGACGTTCAAAACTTCTCTAAATTAGCGTTTAGGGTTTAGGGTTTAGGGTTTAGGGTGTCGCCTGCTTTTGGGATCCTGAACAGGGAACTTGAATTCGGAGAACCATCCATATAGGCGCCTGAGTTGGGCTATCCGCATAGCCGATACTGCAACTATATAATGCTATATATGTAGGGACTGCAAGGGAACACAGCTTACGGCCTTAGGGTTTTTGGACTCTTACGGTGAGGTTTTTGTTGGGGGGCCTTTTGGTTAAAGTGGCACATTCTTGAATTGAAGGCCTTCAAACGCTCCTCCAATCGTCCGTAAACCCCAAGCCCTAAACCACTAATCCCTCAGACAGGATTCCACGGACAAACCCCCTTGTTCTTCTTCTTTTTGTTAGTGGTGGGGCTTCTGTAGGAGGTCCCAAGAGCTTGTGGGGTCAGTATGCTTTTCAAAGGCGATGCGTAGTGACCTTGACACTTCCCTAGCTGGTCTAACCCCTCTGAAAAACCCAAAAAAATCAAAAGCAAAACCTTTGCGCCCCGTGAAACTGGAGAGATCTGAAAATCCCACCGGCATCCGAAACCCCCGAAACCGAAACCCAAAAAAGTGGCAAGCGCCAAGCTTCAAAAGCCACCACTTCTTGTTCGCGAAGTTGAACCACGACCTGCAGAAGGCCTACAAGCATGCACCAGAATAGGTCCCCCATCATCCTCATTGGCCTTGGGCAAATTATCCTCATAAGGAGCCCTTCAGGGATCGTATGACAAAACAAGACTTCAAGGAACCCTTCAGGGATCGTATTGCTAAAATAAGTTCAAGCCGGCGTCCCTAAGCATCCCCCGAGCTCCTGGAAGACGAAGAACAAATCACAGCACTGCCCTGTGCAGCTCTGGGGCCTTTTTTTCTGGAAGAGGCACTTCCCCTCGGTGTGGGTCTAGGTTTAGGGTTTACTTCCCCTTCAGTGGGTTTAGGGTTAGGGGTTTACTTCCGCTTCGGTGTGGGTTTAGGGTTTAGGGTTTACTTCCCCTTCGGTGTGGGTTTAGGGTTAGGGGGTTTATTTCCGCTTCGGTGTGGGTTTAGGGTTAGGGTTTACATCCCCTTCGGTGTGGGTTGAGGGTTTAGGGTGTACTTTCCGCTTCACTGTGGGTTGAGGGTTTAGGGTTTACTTCCGCTTCAGTGTGGGTTGAGGGTTTAGGGTTTACTTCCCCTTCGGTGTGGGTTCAGGGGTAGGGGTTTACATCCCCTTCGGTGTGGGTTGAGGGTTTAGGGTTTAGAGTTTACTTCCGCCTCAGTGTGGGTTTAGGGTTTAGGGTTTACTTCCCCTTCGGTGTGGGTTTAGGGTTTAGAGTTTACTTCCCCTGCGATGTGGGTTTAGGGTTTAGAGTTTACTTCCGCCTGAGTGTGGGTTTAGGGTTTAGGGTTTACTTCCCCTTCGGTGTGGGGTTAGGGTTTAGGGTTTACTTCCGCTTCGGTGTGGGTTTAGGGTTTAGGGTTTACTTACCCTTGGTGGGTTGAGGGCTTAGGGTTTACTTGCCCTGTGTGTGGGTTTAGGGTTTACTTCCGCTTCAGTGTGGAGTTTGGGTTTAGGGTTTACTTTCCCTTCGGGTTTAGGGTTTACTTCCCCTTCGGTGCGGATTTCTGGTTGAGGGTTTAGGGTTTGTTTACTTCCTCTCGGTGTGGGTTTAGGGTTTACTTCTCCTTCGGTCTGGGTTTAGGGTTTAGGGTTTACTTCCCCTTCGGTGCGCGTTGCGGGCTTAAGGTTTCGGGTTCACTTCCCCTTCGGTGCCGGTTGAGGGTTTAGGGCTTAGTTACTTTCCCTTCGGTATGGGGCTTACTTCCCCTTCGGTGTGGGTTTAGAATTTAGGGCTTTGGGTTTACTTCCCCTCGGTGTGGGTTTAGAGTTTAGGGTTTACATCCCCTCGGTGTGGGTTAGTGTTAAGGGTTTACATCTCCTCGGTGTGGGTTTAGGGCTTCGGGTTCAATTAGGGTGTACTTCCCCTTGGTGTGGGTTTAGGGTTTAGGGTTTACTTCCCCTCAGCGTGAGCTTGTTTCACGGGCTGCGCGCCTCAGGGCCTTACACGGGCTTTCTCTGTCATGAGGACCGGAACCTCTGGGCCGTAAACCGGAAACCCTCAAACTAAGTACAACAAACCCCAAAGTGCAAGCGGGCGACGAGGTTTGGCGTTGCAGTGAGCGGCCGTTTTCTCGTGCGGGACTGGGCCAACCAGTGGATTCAACTCGCTTCTTGCTTGAAAGTTGATGGTTGAGCAGGGTTAGGGATTTAATTGAAGTTGCCAGAACAAAGAAACGCTGTTATTTGCTGTAGACCCCTGTGCTGGTAACTTAAATTCAATGGGTTTAGGCTGCAGGGTTTCGGGTCTTGGGTCGTTGGCTTCAGGGTTTCTACATGTGTCGACACAGCTTGTTGGGTCCATTGGAAATTACAAGTGGCGCTGTAGGCATAGCTAGGCCAGCTAGGCCTAACGCGACCCACACCTACGCCGCTTGTTAACGCACCCAGTCCATCAAGTAGCGCCTGTTAAGCGACGTAGTCACAGAATTTTAAGACTGCTTTCTCGAGATCTGCACGAAGATGATGAACGGGACGAGGTTGGCCATGTTGGCTCCGTGCAGATTGATTTACAAACTTGTCTCTTAATTCGGCGACAGTTCTGAACCACCAGGGATATGATGATATCATCGCAAAGTATTCAACCCTACACCCTTTCTAATCCCTAATCCGGCCTCTAGACGTCTTGTCCTCCATTGGCGCCTATCAAAGCATAAGTTGGGTTCTTGCTAAGGAACTTAACTTAAGTTACCATAATTAATAGGGATCTATAGTAAATACTAAATCCTAAGGTTTACAATTTATCATGGGTTTCACATTAAATCCATTCGCAAGAGCCGAACCCAGTAAGTCGCTGCATCCCAGCGGCGCTGCCGATGTTTCCCCTGACCTTCATCCCCCTGTAGGAGAGACGGGGCGCCTGAGGAGGAGAGCTTGGATTCAGGGGCCTAAGCAGTTACAGCGAATCCCAGAAAAGTGGAACGTGAACTTAGGAGGATTCGCCAGGATGAGTGCTAGGATCCCTTATGTTTTACCTTAGGGGCATGAGGATAATAATGTTACTCTCTGGCTTCTAATATCTGAATAGGCTTCCTGTTAGAGGGGTTTCTAAGGGCTACGATAAGGGATCTATAAGGATACTACAGGATGGGGGCATTAACAGTTAGAACAGAGTTCTGTGGGGCGTACTAACTACAGATCCAGGTGTAGTAGAAACCAACCCCCAAAATGGGGTCCGGTTCAGGGTTTGCACTCTAGGGCTTTAGGGCCTTAGGGCCTCAGGGCTCCGGGGCTCAAGGCCTAGGGCTTCAGGGCTTTAGGGTTCGGGGCTCGCGTTGAGAGTCGGCCCAACTTCTAAAAAGGCATCGCAAAGCGTTCCTGCGAATGCTTAAGGCGCACGGTGCTGCTGTTGGTCTCGTTTCAACGTATATAGAAACTTTTTGATCCCAAATATGGAATGTGCAATTCTGTGTCAACGGAACCTCAACTGGGACCAGAACCGTACCTGAAGCATACTTACAACAGCTAAGGAGCCTTGAAGAAGAGCTGACGCTCGCCTCCACGAACCTTGAACCCTTTGTGTACTGTAGGGGCCTTAATGCTTAGAATAGGGTTGTGGTGTATATTATACTATATTTCTAATAAGGAACCCCCAACGTAATGTACTATCGTAAACCCTAAAAACCAACCCCAAAGCCTAGCTGTCTGAACCCTCATCCGCAAGAATCTTGCATTGGCAAGGCACGGAGTGCCACAAAGCATCCGAACCCATCACATTGTCGTCTTCAACGAACTCGTACCCTTGCCGAGGATATTGTGGGCTGGGGCCGGGTAGAGGGTAGGGCTGATGAGGGCTTCCGGTTGAGGGTTCAGGGTGTAGGCCGTTTCGAAAGGGGCGGATTTCAGGGTTCAAGGGTCTATAGTCTAGGCCTCTAGGCAGGGGTTTGGGTTCAGGGTTTACGAGTGCCTCGCCGGAGAGCCCGTAGTTTCCTTGACTTACACAAAGGTCTTGTGCAGCATTCCATGCAGTGTTGTTTCATGAAAGCGGTGTTGGCTTCCTGACCGAGGCTCGTGAAGCGAATCCGGATCTGAGAGTCATTGAAGAACGGGTCGAAATCAGCGGACTACTTTACGAGCTTCCAAGATGGTGAAGACGCTGAAGCCGAAGGAACTGGAAGGGGGGTTGAAGTGTAAGGACCCTCCACCCGGCCAATTGAAACCCCATGAGTGACGGAGATCCTTGGAAATCCCAAGAACGAGCCCCACCGTCCATAACCTATACCCTAAACCCTAAACCCTAAACCCTAAACCCTAAAGAATGATCTTTACACAGCTTCTTCACACTGAACTGAACCCTCCACGCCCAAACCCTGAGGCCTGATCTAGGGTTTAGGGTTTAGGGTTTAGGGTTTAGGGTTTAGGGTTTAGGGGGAAATAATGATTCGAACAGCCCTTTAGGGGTAAGCATTTATGCTATAGTTCTTTTGGGGGGGGCCCTTGCGGAACAGCACTTCCAAGTACCAATCACCCCAAACCCAAACCCTCGAAAACCCTAAAACCCCCCAAATCCGAAAGAGACCGTAACCCTATATACCCTAAAACCCCCCAAATCCGAAAGAGACCGTAACCCTATATACCCTAAGCCGTTAGTGGGCTGCGCTTTGGAAGCCTCGGAGGTCGAATGACTTCGCCTCCTTCAGGCCCTGCACGCAAAGGGCTTTGAGGTTTTGAGTTTAGGGCTTCAGTGGGGTTTAGGGTTGGGGGTACGGGGTTTTAGGGTTAAGGCTTTTGGGTTTAATGTTGGGTGCTTGGGTTTAAAGCTTGCGAAAAATAATGCTTATAAGCGGAAGTATCTAGCGACAGTCCAGTTTCGAGTGCAGCGTAGCATGACGATTCGCAGCTGGAGCCCGACTATGCCGGTTTTTTCTTCTCGCCCACCCCACGCCGTCTGAGGCGGCCAAACCACCCAAACGTATTCATTTTAGGGTTTATCTGTAATCTCATTCCATGGCTTTTTCCTCTTCTTCAAATTCGCCAGGGCAGAGGCAGGGCAGTGCAGGGACAGGCACGGCACGGCACGCAGGGTGATTCGCGCGCTGTAATGCAAAGACATGCCCGCTGCAAGACCCATACACCACTCACAGCGAGCCCAACCGGAGCCAGCCAAATTTCAAGCCAACACCTTCAAACAAAAAGAATGTTATGGATGTGTGAAGTAGCACATTGGACTTTCCCCATTGTCGCCTCAAGTCGTGACGGATTGGGGGTGCCAAACCCTGTCCCAAGCAACATTTAGGGTTTTCGCTAGCGTACGTTCTGGGCCGAAGGGCCCTGCCATTGATATTTCGATCTGTGGAAAGGCTCTTGGCTCTTGGTCCACCTGGAAACGTGGTCAAGCGTTGAATAACGTTAGATATAGTCGTGACGGATTGGTGGTCCCCAATCCTTGTCCGCGTCAAAACTGCCTTGACCTTGATATTTCGATCTGTGACGCGGATCCTGGTCCACCTTGGGAATATTTCAAGCATTGGGCTATGTCAGGAGGGGCTCCCTGAACTCGCATCAAATCGTGAAGGATTGGATGCCCAAATCCGTGCCCCTCCCTCTTCCATTGCATATGGACTCTCCGCAAGTCGTGACGGACTGGGGGTCCCCAATCTTGTCCAAGCAAAGTTTAAGGCCTGTGTCGGGGTGCGTTCTGGCCGTAGGGCCCTGCCACTGATTTGTCGAGCTTTGGCTTCCAATCCCTGTCCAAGCAACATTCAGGGTTTGCGCTAGCGTACGTTCTGGGCCTTAAGGGCCTTGTCATTGATAGTTCAATCTGTGGAGGGGCTCCTGGTCCACTTGGAAACGTCTTCAAGCGTTGGGCTACGTGAGGAAGGGTTCCCTGAATGGTCCGGCGTCAACATTTCGCCGATTGTATATAGATCGAGCCGCTCACAAGAGGCCAGGACCGCGTTCGGCGCCTTTTTTGGGAGGTTTGTGTCCAGTTGGAGGCCGTGCAGGATTGGGAGCCCCAATCCTTGTCCATATGGAGCACCCCAGACTCGCCTTAAGTCGTGAAGGATTGGGGAAGTCCTGTCCCCAGACTCGCTTCACGTGAAGGACCGGGGGCCTCAAGTCGTGAAGGATTCTCGGGCCCCCGATCCTTGTCCGTTTGGAGGGGCTTCCCCAGGCTCGCTTCAAGTCGAGAAGTTTTGGGGGCCCAATCCCTGTCCACTTAGAAATCGTGGAGGATTGGGGGTGATACAAAAATATAAGTGTCTAGCTAGGCGATGATAGCGTGGCGACCTCTCAGGAGTGTGCTCGCAGGCTCTGCAGCTCTAGCAGAGCCTGCTTGGACTCGCTGAGCGCTCGACCGCGCCCGCCTACCCCAACAGAAGTGAGAGGGGTGGAGGTCGGGTTTAGGGTGTAGGGTTCAGGTTGGTTCAGGGTTGAGGGTCTGGAGCAGAGTTTTGTTCGGTCGTAGCGATAGGGTCCCCCCTAAGAAGTGTTTATGCGTCGGTACCTCTATAGGACCATATGGGAAACCTAACATGTTCCTTGGGCACACGTAGCTCTAAGGCATATACACCCATGGTTCCACTAGTGCTGGCATTTGGCGCTCGGGGGTTTGGGGTCAAGCTTCGGGCCCTGAAGCATAAGAGCTACACCGAAGGCCCTTGAGCCCTAAAGTCCTAAAAACCTTGAAACCCCCCTCAACCCCTAAACCCTGAAGCCCTAAACCACAAAAACCCCCAACAAACCCCTAAAGCACCTAAAACATCCTAAAACCCCTAAACCCCCCCGCAAGACTCCTAAAAACCTGAAGCCCCCGGCTCCTTCGGTAGGTCCGTGGTGACCTCTGGCGGAGGCGTCAGAGGCTCCAGGCAGCTCACTTTGCCATCAGAGATCGGGTTCACCTGGTCAAGGGATTGATTTTAGGGCTTTAGGGGTTTAGGGTTTTTAGGGTTTAGGGTTTAGGGTTTAGGGATACGTTTTCTTTTTTATAAGGCCTTTAAGGATCTTAAAGGCTTTTTGTAAGGGCTTTTAAGGGCTCCTAGGGGGTGATAAGTTGTTTTGAGGGCTTTAAGGATCTTAAAGGCTTTAAGGGCTCTACGGCTACTAAGTGCTTTTCAGGGGTTCGGGTCATAGGATGCTATAGGGTTCACCTTCTAAGGCTTTCGAGGCTGTTGAAGGTGTTTAGGGTTTAGGGTTCCTGGCAATCTAAACGGTTAGGGGCTTTAAGGATCAGGGTGCCTGGTAGCCTACAAGAGAGGGTTGTAAGGCTTTCTAAGGATCCTAAGGCTTCTAAGGTTTCGGGTTGTAAGGTTGGCACTGCGGGATCGCACAGCTTGAGGGCACAGGGTTGGGGCTGAAGCGGCTAAATGGGTTCAAGCTTTTAGGGTTCAGGGTTTATATGGGTTAAGGTCGGGCCCAGATATTTGAGGGCTTAAAGTTTCCGGGTTGAGGGTTTTGAGGCGAGGGGAGAAGCTCTGTCAGATAGCTTCGTAATACTTACACGAAAATCAATTGTGCGGGCTCACTGAGCCAACAGCAATAATGCGTATGAAGATGCAAATATACACACATACCGCGCATAACTATGTACGTGCGTGCATTCGCACCTGCCTACCCGCCTATCTACCTGCCTAGCTGCTGTAATTACGTACCTACACATCTGCTATACACTCCTATACCCTGAACTTCCCCGAACCCTAAACGAAATCCTAAATTCTAAACTTTAAACCCTAAGCCGTAAGCCAACCCAAAGCTTGAAACCCCTAAACCCCAAGCCCATCTAAACCCCGACCGGGTTTGGGGTTTAGGGTTTAGGGTTTAGTGTAGAAGCCTGAACAATTACGAATACCATTCCCGGGGTTTAGGGTTTAGGGTTTAGGGTTTCCCTGAATAAATAGAATTACACCCCAGAACCCTCGTCTAATTGTTAGAGGCCCCTATATTATGGCACACTTATGGCTGCGTTGTCCCCTTTAAAAGGAACCCTATTCTAATCTGTAAACTAGACTAAAGCAAATTCTGAGGCCAGAAGGATAGGTCGCCTCGCTGTGCAGTTGCATGGAAAGGCGGTTGAAGTAGTAGAGCTCCTGCAAAAAAAGGCCCTAGAAAACAAAGGTTCCTACAAAGGTTACTATAAAGATTACTATAAGAGTCAAGGTTACTATAAAGGTAACTGTAAGGGTTACGACCAAGATTCTAAGCTTTAGGGGTATAGGGGTTTAGGGTACAAGTTTCGAAGGCAAGGGGCTTGTGATGTTTAGAGTCCAACATCCCTTATCTACGCGCTCCGTGCTGGAGGCAATATGACAAGAAGGGGGTCCTCATTCAGGAGGCGAGGTTTTGGGGTATATCATAGTATATCTGTTTAAGGGCTTTCAGATGCTTTCAGGAGATCTGATGATGGCTCAGAGCATTGCGGGACCCTAAACCCAAACAGCCCTCTGAAGCTTCACGCAGTCCTGCTGCCTCTTCTCGTGCACATCTCCGAATCCCGCCGTTCCCACCTGCCCAGAAGAAAGGAGTGCCTCTCTTCACAGCTCTGTCTCTGGTTTTTGGTTTAGGGTTTTTAGGCCGTTTCCTCCATGCTCAGGCATGAATCAAGGTGCAGAGGGCAGGTGTTTCGAAAGCATGAACCCAGAACTCAGAACCTGCACACAAACCCTTAAAGCCAACATCCCAAGGCCCGCGCCCCGGAACGCTATCATAAATGCTATACACAGTTTTATATCTATACTGATACACACACACATGTATGTATGTATGTATGTATGTATGTATGTATGTATGTATGTATGCATGGACGTATGGATGGATGGATGTATGTGTGTACGTACGTACGCATGTATGTATGCATGTATGCACGTATGCACGTATGTACGTATGTGCGTATGTATGTATGTATGTATGTATGTATGTATGTATGTATGTCTGCATGTATGTATGTATATACATCCATCCATGCTGCCATCCATCTTTCTTTCAATCTATCTCTATCCGATATATATATATATATATACACATGCACATGTATGTACATATACACATATATATGTATATATACATGTATATGGCCTGGCCTGCATGCAGGGAAGACAAGCGAATCCCTCGAAGCCGTTGAGGCCGTTGGAAGCGAACCAGCCACCTGGGGCTTTCGAGTAGAATACGAATACGGCTCTTTGAAGGCAGTGTAGGCCTTCCACTCATATGGGTTTTATAAAAAATCCTTTTCGTGGGGCCTCACAGGGGGCTTGCTGCGCAATTAGGATGAGGTTTTGGAGCATGTTCTTGTATTCTTGAAGAAGCCTTTAGGGACTCTAAGCATGTAAGCGATGTCACTATCACAGTAATGGCTCAGACGCCTCTGTTGGGGGGCCGTTGTACACTACACCCGTTGATACAGCTCTGGTTGGCCCTTCCAACCAGGCGAACCTAAGATAGCCAATGGCCTATCCTATATTGTTACATACGGCTTGGAAACGAATGTCGAGCGAGAACAGCCCGTCGACCTCCTGCTGGGCGATCAACTGCCCAGCAGAGAGGCCTTCAGAATGTCTTCCCAAGAGCCCAGTCCCTTTACGCAAAACCTGCCCCGAAATCTCTAGAGAGATCCTAAGCATGCTTGGTGCGTGTCAGGCTCTCTCTCTCTCGCTCTCTCCCTCTGCCGTCACTCATTGACCAATGGACCCTCAAACAATCCTCTTAATATTTTCAAGATGTAAAAGTATCCCGAGAATGAAACCCACAGATACACTGAGCAATGTTCCTATCCTAAGGAGCCCTAGACACAATTAACCAAACCCTAATGTCCAAACCCTCATATAACCCTAATAAAAACCTTGTCAAAACCTGCACAATCCCACAAACCCCTAATCAACCCCCATGATACTCCTACACAACCCAGATGAAACCCTAACCGAACCCGTAGCACAGGGGCCTAAACAATTACCTAAACTATTTTGGGGGTTCCTTATCATAAATATAATCTACCCCCAAGCCCGATTCTACTTATTAAGCCGTCTACACTAACATAAAGCCCTATTCTAATCATTCAGGCCCCTAGATTAAGATAACCCCGACAACAGCCAAACCCGAAACCCTAAACCCTAAACCCTAAACCCTAAACCCAGCCAGGATGCCGTTGACGCAGGTGATGGCCTGCTGCGCAGGGACATCAGCTTAGGGTTTAGGGTTTAGGGTTTAGGGTTTAGGCTTTCGGGAGATCACCGAAGCGAGGTCGACACGGGGTTCAGGGTTTCGGGATCTAGGGTGAGGGTTTAGGGTTTTGGACCCTTGAATTAGGGGCTTTGGGATTTTAGGTTAGGGGTTACGATGTAGGGCATAAAGCCTTAATTGTCCAGCTTCCCAAGCAAACTGAGTGCTAGCTGCTGCGAATATATCGGCACCTAAAAACCAGGTAACCCCAAGTTTAAGGACACTTATGAGATCCTTGCTAGAATTCTTATAACACCATTGTAACTTCATAACACCCTCGCGGGCCAACTGGTCAGCCAATGGCAAACCCGGCCTCTCGATTCTTTACGCCCAGGTTGATGCCTTCGTAGCGGTCGCTCCAGCAGGATGCCTCCAGCTGCACTCTAAGGGTTTAGGGTTTAGGATTTTGGATTTAGGGTTTAGGGTTTAGGGCTTAGGGTTTTTGGGTGTAGGGTGTAGGATTTAGGGGTAGGGGTTCAGGTTAACTACCCCTGAAACATAAGACATGAGCTTTGCGAATCGCCCCTGGGGTTATGTTACCAGAACAATACATGGAAAAGACGACCCCTGAGGAAAGGCAAGTAAAGCGCACCTCCCACAATTTCTTTGGGGTCTTAAAGGTTTCTACGGATGCTTTGGGAGTTTAGGATATATAATTTTTTGGGAGGAGGGGGGGGGGGTTGGGGTTCCCGGCATTGTTCTTCAAGAACTCTCCATGAATTTAGGGTTAAACCCTAAACCCTAAACCGGTTTAGAGGTTTGGGGGTTCGGGCCTTTATGGGGGCACAGGGTTTCAGACCTCCCTCAAAGCCCCCGCAGCCGAAACTCTCAACCTAAAATCTCTCTCTATAAACACATACATATATAATTTTAAATATGAGTATAAATACATACATATATATATATATACAAGTGTCCGATAGATAGATTGGTAGACAGATAGATAGATAGACAGATAGACCTCCTTTTTCCATAATATGTATATACCTTTGTGTATATATATAAGGATTTGTGAATGCTGCGACCGGGTTCTTGGTGTGGCCTCAAATACAAAAAAAGGAGCACATGCAGACTTTTGATTCGGTAACCCGCACGAAACGAACACGAAGCATTCAGGCCCCAACGTTCATGCAGGGCCTTCATTACGGTTTTGGGGTATATTATACGATAATTATAATAAGGACCGGCCACAATAGTATAGGTAATTATAAAGGCTCCAACCCTACACCCTGAACCCCCTCTCTTGGCCTGGATCATCTCACCGTGCTTGAAAGTCGCAGGAAGATGCCTGCATCGGCATGCTCTCGGGCTTGCGGGAGTCTGAGATTTAGGGTTCCTGGAACCCTGTTGAAATTCAAGGCATATATTCGTCAATCAATCCCCAACCCCTAAAGATCAAACAGCCTGAAGGGTCGAACTTATTGGAAACTCTGCAATGAGACCCTTTTCAAAGCCCGATAAGACACCGTAGTACTCTTTCTACACCATATAAAACCCGCAAGAATATTGTTCAACTTAGCCCTTGCAAATTCTTCTGAACATTCCAGAACCCTTGCCAACAAAAAGAAGCTACCGGGATGAACACAGCCTCTTGTGCTTCCACTGGTGGCTGTTCATGTCCCGGACGGAGGGCCGGCTGCAGCCAGAGACGCCCCAGCCGCCTGCGCCCTAAACCCTAAACCCTAAAATCCCTAAACCCTAAACCCTAAACCGTAAACACCGAGGAGTTAAGATGGTTCCTGGTACAGGTCCTACTGAGACCATCTTCGGGCCTTCGGAATGGAGCTGCAGCCGCTTGCTCCTAGAGTCCTAGAGTCTAGAAGAGCCTCCTGGCAGAGGTTCTCCCTAAGGGTTCTCTCTAAGGGTTCTCTAAGGGCTCTACCCGGGTTTATCACGGATCAACGATTTCTGGTGAGTGGCTTTACATTATTTTCGGCTTCGTGCTTCGTGCTCAGGCTTTGGGCTCGGTTGAGGGTGTTCTGGGCTCCGGGTTTCGGGCTCTGAAAAATTTAAGGTGGCATCCCAAGGACAAAGGCAAGCACAACTCCCGTGAAGCTGCCGCTGGTGCCTAGCAGCAGCATGTAGTCGCACTCCGCATACAGGGTCCAATGCCTCGAACATGGATTACTTCAAGGTTAAACGTCCAGTGGATGTCTGGGACTGTGCGTCCACAGTGGCTCAACGAGGTGTCCGGACCCCTTCCTGAAGGTTTCAGGGCTAGTCGCCAGCGAGACCTCCGTGTTCACATGCAGTTCCGTCCCAAGAGACCCTGAATTCAGGTCCTTCCTTGGAGTAGTCCTGAGAAGGGGCGCTTCATGTCAAGCGATGGCAAGATTCTATGGAGCCGCCACCATGGACCCGAAACTTTAAATCCACAAAACCCTAGTCTAACCTGAAACCCCACAAAAAAAGCCCAACTGCCGATCCACAAACCAAACCCGAACCCCTCCTCAACCTTTAAATGAGCCCTTCAGGGAACTTCAGGGAGTCCTGAATCCTGAGCTCCAGCATAGGCACCCTAATGATCTCAACAGCGTTTTGGGGGAGTGCAATAAAAGACATATATATATATATGTATGTCTAAATATATAGTATATCTAAACTTATGTATATTTATCAAGGATCCCTAAGGAATAGCATTGGTAAGCATTGGTAAATGGAAGCCCCTACATTATCCGTGCGAGCGGCCAGAAGCTCGGGACTGCATCCGAAGTCAAAGCAACCCGTCGAAGCGTCTTGGTCCAGCAGTCCTGTTAAGGCGCTGACGATCGGGTTTTCGGTTTTAGGATTTTGGGGTGTTGGCAGGGTTTCAGAGGGTTTCGGGCTTACGGCCACTAGGGCTGAACATAGGGGGGTGGAATTTCCGGAATAGTTATCATTGATTGCTGGGGCACTCATGAAGAGGCTCACAAACTGAATTTATCTGCACAGGCCTTGTACTCTTGCTCGAAACTACCCCCCGAAACCCCGAAGCCCTAAAGCCTAATACGAACTCTGGGACCAGACCTCAACTCGAAACCCTAAACCCTAAACCCTAAACCCTAAACCCTAAACCCTAAACCCTAAACCCTAAACCCTAAACCCTAAACCGCTCATGCCTTAGGGTTCGGCCTCGAACCCTAAAGTGCCCGTTCCCCCGCGTCACAGAGCAGACCATGTTCACTTGGCTTCCCTGCTGGCAGGGTGTCACTGTGCTCCGTTCTAGTAAAACCAAAGGTGGCATCAACCCAAGGCTAAAGGTGCCCTAAAACCCTAAACCCCATGCCCTTCACCCTCCCTTCAAAGCGCGGCCTTCTAGAGCCTAAACCCTAAACCCTAAACCCCAAACCAAAACCCCCCTGCTTTGATCCCTCACGACTTGAAGCCCCTGACGCAGGTCCTCCGGGGCGGTCACCAGGCAGGCAGGAGTCTTCGGCACCGCCTGGATCCAAGCCACGGTTTAGGGTTTAGGGTTTAGGGTTTAGGGGTGGGGGGGGGGTTGAGGGATTAGGGAGTAGAGCTAGGGGAACTGGGGCTTGGGGTTCATAGACTGATTTTATAAGGGTCGTCTTATCAGGGTCTTCGGTTTGGAGGTTTTGGGCCTACTGCACTTAGGATCTTGCGTGATTCTGGGTGACCGGGGCTGCCGTCGAGGATTGAACGCGTACGCGTCCTTTTGCGGCTCAGGGTTCTGGTCAAAGCTTGGGGCTTCAGGTTCAGGCTTGCTATAATGTTTAGGGGTTTAGGGTTTAGGGTTCAGGGTTTAGGGTTTAGGGGGTATAGCGTGACGCGGCGTTTCTGGTTCATACGGTTTGGGGTTCAAAACCTCAGAGTGGCTATCTCGCTCTTCGGGCTCAGAGTTGAAATGGTCAGACTTTGAGTCCTTACCGTTTCCTGCCCATGGCTAGTTCTCTAAATTAGGGTTTGTTTTCAAGTCCCCAATATAGTACGGCACCGGCACAATGAAGACCCCCAAAGTGGCCCTAGTTTAGAGAACTGCCCACATGGTGTTATCGCAGTGGGCAGTGTTGACGGCGAGCGCAATACCAGCAAGAGATTCATTCGGGCATTAACGCTTGAGATCCCGTCACGTGTGTGCGGGAATATATCTTGACGCCGCGCAGCAGAGTTTAAAGAACCTTCCTTGATTCGGGGGCAGGCTCTGGCATTGCGTTGGAGTGAGCAACGGGAGTTTTGTGCAAGCCCTCCTTGAGAAGTCCTAAACCCAGCTCTTTCTGCAGGCCTTGAGCATTCCTTCAACGCCGGGCTCGCGAACAAGGTGGCTGCATTTGGCGTACAACCTGGCAGCAGGGCTCCGACACAAAGCGGCATAACCCAAAGTACCCTACCCCAAGGGACAGATGGTGGATCTCACGGAGGGCTTCAGGCCTCAACACTTCCGTGGTGTGGCTTCAGCCGGATCTGCTTCCCTTCGCAGCTTCTCTCACTCGCGGTTCAGCACCTGGCTCAGCCTTTCCTTCGTGACCGGCTCCCTTCAATCTTCGATACAGCCTATCATACGACCCATGGACTGGCAGCTGCAAACGGAGCCGGAAAGAGAGGCCTGCAGGTGGCAAGGGCATGCTGCGTGCCATGCCAGAAGAAGTTGCACTCGTCCATGTTCTTGCACTTGAGCTGGCACAGGGCATTCAGCTTTTCAGAAGCCGCTGGAAAAGAAGCTTGCGAGGACAAGTACCAGAACACACCTGGAAGCCACCGCGACAAAGCTCTATTCACATAAGTAGCGTGAACGTGGATGTAGAATCTTGCGAGTAATGAAAAGCTAATGAGAGCCGAAACCCTAAAACCCTACAACTCCTTCACCCTAAAGGACACCCAAACCCACAACAAAAATCCTAGAGAGCCCAAAACAAACACCCTTGAGCCCGAAGACCCCAAACCCGAGCAGCGGCCTCGCAGTCCCCAACCTCCTGCGCTTCCTCTTCCGTCTCGAAGATCGGGCCGTCCCCGACCATTTCGTTGGGTGGGCCTGGGAAAATCTGCTGAAGCCTTACGGATGTGAGTGACACCATACATAGGGGCCCGGGCCCACACACATAAATCTACGTCGTCATCATTGAAAACCGATGGCCAATATATAGCCGTAGTACTACAGTAGTACGAAGATCTTCAAGAACAAGGCGCCTAATATCTAGGGTATCTGTCAGGGATCGCCCTCTCTGAAGCTCCGACGGGCATCTAAGTCTTCTCGGGTCTACGGGCCTGGACAACCACTAATTAGAGGGTCTATGGGTCGGGCGATCGCCGAGAGGCACACAAACTGTCCCTCCACGATCATCACTGGGGCTGGGATGAACTGGTCCTCGGCACAAGTGCAGAATGTGTTGCTGTATTAGATGTCTTTGCGTATAATATACTATACTATGTGGTAGAAAATAAACACAGAGAGAGAGAGAGAGATAGAGGGAGGGAGAGGGTACAGGAAACCTTCGTTTCAGAATCCCCAAGACCAAAAACCCCCAAAGACTTAACCCTCCCAAAGGAGACTTGCCTGTTCTTGGCGAATCTGGGCCAGCTCTCGTCCCCAGATATCCTGAACACCCATAGACCCTAAGCCCCTCACAGACCCAAGCGCTTTAGGGTTTAGGGTTTGGGGTTTAGGGTTCCTAGACTACGGGTATAGTCAGGCATCTTCAGATTCTGGCGGCAGCGCCGCGAACACCTCTTGATCCATGGGTGGAGCGTCACCCCAGACCTGCACGTGGCAAAACAGAGTTCAGGGTTGAGGGTTCAGAGTTGAGAGGCTGTGGTAGCAGAGCTTGTGTCGGGTTGTTACATACAACTATCAACCCTGAACCCTGAACCAAAAAGCTTAAGTCCAAAAAACCTCGAAGAAAACACCTGCCCGAGTTCAACATCACCAGTGGGTTTCGGTTTTTGTTTCTCTTGTTTTGGGTTTGGGAGGGTTTCGGGTTTGGGGTTTTAGGCCCCGGGTGGTGGGATCCTTAAACTTTCAAACCCGTTTGAGATGAAGACTTTGTCAGCTTGCTGCCAACCACGTCGTTGGACCCTGGCTTCTGGAAAGCCTCAGAAACCCTGACTAAGTAACATAATATAGGGGCCTTGAGAAGTAAAATAGGGTTTTGGTGTCCATTATAGGATAATTATCATCAGGAACCCCCCAAAATAGCGTTGGTCATTATTTAGGCCCCTATATTACCTCAAACCATAACAAGGAGACCCCGAAAGAGTATACCTTCAATCTACGTCCAACTCTCTTGCTGTCGTCCTGAAAGGGTATTCCGCCCTAAACCCCAAACCCTAAACCCTAATCGCTTCTTACTTTCGTTTGTTTGTAATGAAGTGAAGCGAGCGTAAGCACGAAACAAACGAAACAAGACATGAAGCGAATTAAATAAACACAACACAGAAGCCAGGAACCCAATGCCAGGTGATACAACTAGCTATTTGGTGAATTTCTGAGAGGTTAGAATGTACTAGAGGTGTGGTAGTGGTCTATTGTTATTAATTGAAATGAAAGAAACCGAAACAATGGAACAAAAGGAATGAGAGAAGCGTGCTCTGCGTTCGTTTCGTTTAAACGCAACAACCACGAACGCTTATTATCCCACCTTTTCCGGATTCAGCTTCGTTTCCAATGTTTCACTTGAGTCTAGGATATCCCTAGTGGCTTGGTGAACGAAACAATTAAAAGAAAAACGACAAGTGTGCGCGTGCTTTTCGCTTGCTTGTCTCTTTTCGCACGTCTCCCATAAACCCCAAACCCTACACCCTAAACCCCAAACCCTAAACCCCAAAACTCTAAACCCCAAACCCTAAACTGCAAACCCTAAACCCCAAACCCGAAACCCCAAACCCTAAACCCCAAACCCTAGAAACCCTAAACCCCAAACCCTAGAAACCAAAACCCCAAACCCTAGAAACCATAAACCCCAAACCCTAGACACCCCAAACCTCAAACCCTTCACCCTAAACCCCAAACCCTAGAAACCCTAAATCTCAAACCCTAGAAACCCTAAACCTCAAACCCTAGAAACCCGAAA